TTCTGTGATTATTGCTATGCAGAATAGCTGGAATTAAAATGATTTAAAAGTCGAGGAAACATTTGTAATCGACATGATGTAAACCTCAAAATATGATTGTAAAGTGTAATAGAATGTAGTACAAAGAAGCACGCAAAAGAGACCATTTTTTCTTAAATGGGTTGTTAGTTTACCCTCTGCATTGAAATATTGACGGTTGAACGACGTTCTGGCGTAGAATGAAAGCGACATGATGAACATACGATGGAAACAGGAAGTCTTTCTGCACCCTTCTACTACTAAATTTATTTTTAATACATCGAAAGTTGTTTTGTTGGAGATTAGCGCGACCCGTCAACGTACAATATACCCAAGGGCAGCTCCTATTAGTGAAAAGAGTTCAAGTAAGAAGTTTTGCATCGTTTTGGATGATCACACAATTTATCAGAGCTACGATCATGTCCTGGTGGAAGCTTCCGTACTCAAACATCAGCGATGTGAGAATAGATCTATATAGGCATGAGAGTTAATTTTAGTTGAATGGCGACTTGTACGAGCGAAAAGCTGCCCAGAGTAAGATCCACTTCAAATTTCTTTGTCAAAACTTCACAGTTTACGATTCAGTTGTCTGGATCAAGCTTCTTCATCATATTTTCGATCCTCATCGTCAGCGACGTCGAATTCATCTGATTCGCCAACAAGGTGAATGTGAATGGCGATGACCGCAGCATCAGTCAAATCAACGACTATCGACACGTATTGAATTAGTTGTACTAGGGAAGAAAACCTTAACAGGACTTTCAAAAGATAGTTGGCGATCCATTTGAGCAGATGTAGTCCTAATTGCAGATGAATTGATTTCAATTGAGGTATGCAAAATGATAACTTTTGCAATATGTATTTATACGCTGGTGGTTGCGATAGCATTACATTTCGCTAACTTTTGTACTATCGCTCTGTGTTCTGTCGTCGCGTGCGCTTGGGATATCATGGGCTCCAAGACCGCTTGTCTATAGACAGGTTATAGTGGCGGAAGTTTCGTTATCAAACCGAGAGTGGGAAATTCCGTATAGATGCAACCATAAGTTTTAAAACTCGCCAGTCGTAAGTCGCCACACGACGCTATCTCTTTGGGATGATGTATGACGTTATCTTGAACTAAATATTTAATTTTCTATTGTCATGATATAATCATGTTCACTTGTTCAGAAAAACAATCACCCGATTGGAATCAATTCGGAGCAAATCATTCCTATCGAAAAATCATCAAAATTCCAAACCTGTGACGTCAATTTGTTTTAGGGTTTATAAAACTCTCAGTCACATGGCATTACTCTCACATAGGTCATAGTGATAGCCTTCTGAAACGGTGAAAAACAAAATAGAACATTTTAAAGAAGTCACTGGCATAAAAGGTACTAGCTAGCGCACATATATAAACCCCCCCTAGACCATTTTTAAGTACTATCATAAGTATGCGATAATGCCAGAAAGCCGAAAGGTCTGTTAGGTATAGATGGACTTATATAACGCGTACGTGAATGGGCTGATATCACAATCCTTCAACCGGTCAGATTGACCCGGTTCTGATATAAAATGTAATACTTCATAACTTTTGAACCAATAGTCTGATCGGGATGGGATTAAGCATACGTTTATAACTTAGGCGGTTCCAAGTCTGATTTGGCTCTATACCCTACTAAAATTTTACTACTGAATTTAGTATAGACCCGAAATTAATGTAAGGGTTTTGGGATCCACACCCAATTTTCGGGTTTTTTTTCTTGGAAAAATTATATCTGGTTTGGTAGGAACTGGCTTGGAGTAGGGTATAGAGTATAGTCGCCTGCCTCCTACTTTTTTGGGGGGAAATGTTAGCAGAAACAAAAATCGATTTGGAACCGCATTATCACGTATAACTGCCAATGAGATTGATTTTTTAAGGTGCCTCTGGGTCAACCTCTATATTCTATAGTAGAAATCTCCGGTCTCCTAAAAAGCTAATTTTTGATGTTCACCGCTTCTATTTTTTTTAACAAAATATGAAATTTAGCTAGACTGTTCTGACTGAAGAATTTTATTTCCAGCATTTATACTCTATATAGTGAGCATAAAAGTTTAAAAAAAAATCAATCACAACAATCGTACTCGGCCATTCACTCCGCCGACCTTCACTTATTCAGTGTCAGAGAGTCAGAGTCTGAAGCTAATCTCGTTACGTTATGGGGGTACGAGATAGAGAATTTGAACGTAAACGCATGTTTATTCAATTCTAAAACGTTATAACGGCTATAACGTGATCAGAAGGCCCATCTAAGTTCTTTTTATAGGTCAGGTTCGTATGGTAAAATCGTCACACACTTGAATTTTTAGACCCGAAAGGTGGACTTATATAGTATATGCCTACAAAGGACCGCATGTGGAATAAAAGTAGAACGTAAACGTATATTTATTCGATTTATAAAGGTTTTAACGGAAACCGGTTTGAGGTTGGGTCTGAAATCTTCAAATCTCAGACCTC